TCCTGTTGGAATGAATTGCTTGGTCTTCTATAATCCCCCATAGCTCTGCTAATATTTCAGTTAGAGAGATTTCCTGCCCCTTTCACGGGGGCTGGCTGGCTATTTGTGTGTCTGTCCACTTGTCCAGTGAATGGATACTTCTGGAGAGGTAACAGCAGAGGGTCCATCTTTCTCTTCGACCTCCCCGCAGCCTCCAGCACACAAAGTACACCTCAGATATTCACTAAATGTTATTCATTGCCAGGCGACCTGAGGTCACCTGCCTGCCGAGGACACAGTTTGGGACCCTGCTCGGCCATCCCCTAATCCCAGGCCGACACCAGCTGTCACCTGCAAACCAGCAATAGTAGCTCAACGGGTCTCCTGTCGTCCAGCTTGCCCCCTCCCCAGCCCCACCCCCATTCTCTACACAACAGCCCCAGCAAACCTTTAAGAATGTAAATCTGAATGTGTCAGACCCTCCAGGACTCCCACTGTGTTTAGGATAAAATCACAAATCCTCCCAATGTCCTACAGGGCCCGGCAGGGTCAACCCCGGCTTTATCCGGCACTTCCTCTCCGCCCTTCCCTTCCTACTCTCCCAGTTCTTCCTTGCTCCTTAGCTTTGGGGCGTGCCATGCCCCCTGCCTGGTACAGTGCCCAACTCCCCACTCCCAGGGGACTGGGGTCTCCTCCTCCGCTGGTCTGCCTCTGGGGGACACTGCCCAGTGCTGAATCCCACGCCAGCACACAGTAGGCATTCCAGAAATATCTTTTCAATGACTCGCGAGCGATAAGACCCTTCTTGGCTCCTCAGTTTCCCTGAGGATGAGGATGAGGCCAATTGACCCTTCTCTGCCCAGGACTGATGGCTTTAAATAGCTCGGACATACCCCGGAGGTGGAAAATGTAGATTAGATTGTAGAATGTGGCTTTCCGACGAGGCCTGGGAGTTCGGCACCGGTGCAGAGACCACACTGGCCAGCTCCAGTCAAGGTTGTGTTCCTGTCAGACTGGGCCGGGGCTGGGGCCGGGGCTGGATTTATAAGAAGACGCGGGTGTCTTTGGGGGCTTGCCACTTTGCATATGCATTTCCACAAGTTCCCTCAGTATCTCTGCTGTGGTGAGTAAAGGCTGGAAACCAGTGGGCAGTGAGTTCCCCAGCCCTGAGCTCCGGCTCTGGCTCCATCGCCTGCCGGCTAACGGCTACCAACATCATTGCCACAGGTATCAGTTTCTTCATCTGTAAAGTGGGGCTGCTAATAGTACCCACTTCTCAGGGTTGTTGTGAGCAGTCCACAGGCTACTGCCTTAAAAGTGTTTAGTGCTCGGCACATCAAGCATTTTGTTGTGGCTATTATTATTAGCAGATGGCACATTCCCAAGAGTTGGGACCTGGTTAGCAGGGCTCTCTCGCTACGAAACCCCGACTTCAAGTACTACTACCCAGAAGCCGTATTTTTTTTCAACTTTTTGTAAGAAACTCCAAGAAGTGTATGCGATTCATGTTTAAGCCACCGGTGGATATTCATGGACATTCAATGATGGGTGGTGTGTGTGTGGGGGGGGGCACTGTTACTAGGCTCCAGAAGCCTGAAGATTAGTAGGATCCACTTCTTGTCTGATGAGAACAGACAAACCAATGATCACAACCCAATGTGTGCATATAGTTAGGCGGCCCACAAACTATGGGGAGAGGAGAGGATTTCAGGGTGGTGACAGGGGTCCTCAGAGTGTCTGGGGATCCCTAGGGTGGATGGAGGAAGGCAGGATGTATGGGTGGAATGGCCACGCACTCCCCACCAGGGTGTGAGCTTCACTGGGAAAGACAGGCTGAGCTCTGCGGGTGAGAAACTGGTATGTATTCCCCCAGCTGACTGAGAACCTTCTCTGTGCCAGACCTGGCTGGGCTGGGGGTGGGGGGCACATCAGACCTAGACAGAGCCCCAAGCCTCCCAAAACAGTGGGCTGTCCAGTGGAAGAGACATGACAAGACAAGCATTAATAGCAATCACGCCCCTCTCGCCCTCCCCCTGCTCCCCCACCCCCATGCGCCCCCTGCCCCCTGCCAGAGCTGAGGTATCCAGAAGCCTGCAGGAGGTATCCTGGGAATCAAGCCCTTGTCCTTGGTCTGGGGAGAGGGCAGTCTCCAGATCCCTAGCGGGGGTGTGGTCTCTGGAGATGGCATCTTCAGCCTGGGGGTTGGGACTGCATGCCCTCCTCCCTTATCCTTCAGCAGAGCCTTTTAAGGGGGTGACCCTCTGACCTCCAGACTGTTCCCCCTCACCCGCCAGCTAGAAGTCCCTAGGGCAGCAGCTTAAAGAGGGAGGGCTCCGGAGGCCTCAGGTTAGCTGCAGATCGGAGGCCAGGATTGGGCCTGAAAAGACTCTGGGGTCCCCTGGGCACTCCTGGGGAGCTCAGCCAAGGCCAGGGGGTCTGAGTCAGGTCCATGGGAGTGTAGCGCCGAGATGCGGGTGTCTGGCCCAGGACAAGGGAGGGGGCGATGGGCAAAGGGTTCAGTCAAGGGAGCAGGCGGGGCACTGGGAGTCTAGGGCCCAGGGTGGGGGTGGGAGGGCGAGGGGTCCGGCCGGTGCAGGGGAGGGGGGCGCCCCCGGGGAGGGGCACGCTATGTCTTTAAGAGCTGCCTGAGCGCAGGTTGCAGCTGCCTGGCCAGCCCGAGAGACAGCGGAGATTCATTACCCGCCGACACAATGACCATTGATGGCCCCGTGGCGTTATTCAAATCCAGTACCAATTGCAGCCGAGCCCCTTTCTCCGCGCCAGGCCCGTATTGTTGGAGCGGCCCACTAAAAGCCCGCCCCGGCCCCGAGCCGCCAGAGGCGCCCGCTCGGGTTCAGCCCTGCGCCTCGCCAGCCCGCCGGCTCCCAGCCCGGCTCCCCGGGCGCTGCAGGTGACCCGGCGGCGCATTCCAGCGCTCCCAGCCGCCCGGGCCACCGCCGCCACCGCTACCGCCGGGCGCCGGCCGCAACTCAGCCACAGGGAAGCGGAGAGCGCCGGAGCCGGTGCGTGCGGGGCTGGGCGGGGGCGGGGACCCCACGAGTCCAGCAGCCCGCACCCCGGGCTCGGAAACGCGACCCGGCCTCGGGCCCCTGCTTTCCGGATTCCGGGCGAGCCCGGGGAGCCCAGGCTGGGGGCGGGGAGAGGGGAGTTGGGGTTCCCCGGCCCTGACAGAGGAGATTCCCCCGACTCAGGGCGGCGCAGAGACCCAACGCGGGCTACTCTAGGGACCCCGGGCCGCGATCGAAGGAGACACACGCCAGGGGCGATGGGGATCCCCACGCAGGGTCGGGATCCGCGTGCTTGCTCGTCCACCTACCGCGGGATGGGCCGCGACCGCTGAGCGTCTGCGAGGTAGTCGGACGCGCAGCTCCGGAGATCTCCTGGTCCGGCGCTTTTAAGGAGCCAAGCGGAAGCCCGCACGCAGGAAACCGGGGCCCCGAACTCGGGGGCTTCGCCACTGATTGTCCAAACGCAATTCTTGTACGAGTCTGCGGCCAACCGAGAATTGTGGCTGGACATCTGTGGCTGAGCTCCGGGCGCAACAGGGGCGGAAGCCGCAGGGACCGAGCTCGGCGCGGGCGAGACCCCTCGGGGAGGCGGCTGGCTGGCCCCAGCGCGCGGATCGCGGCCCCAGCCGGGCGCGCAAAAGAGGGACGCCGGTCCCTGCCACCAGCGCCGCCATCCTCACCCTCGTCGTCGTCGTCCTTCTCCTCCTCCTCCGCGGGTGACCAGTCGTGGCTGGCGGGGGCCTCCAGTCGGTCGCGTCGTTTTTCCCTTTTTCAAATTTCGGCCGGGAACGAAGCTGGCACGCCGCGGCGGGGCATGACTGTGGTCCGGGGAGCCCGCCCTCGGCCCGAGCCGCAGCAAGTCGGGGGCGAAAGAAGATGCTGGCGGAACGCGCTCGCTAATTCGTTTTGAATTGGTTTTAACCTAGTCCCCACCAATGCCCCCCAAACAAAAAAGCCTAAACCAACCCCTAAATCCCAAATAAACCGACCCCTCCCGCCAGCCCCTCCAGACGGACCGATGGGCTGAGCCTCCTCCAGCCGCTGCAGGAGTCAGGAGTCGGAGAAGCGTCGGGAATGATGCGCTCCAGCCGGGCAATCGCCTCGGCTTTGGAAACAACTTGGACAAACGAATCCTTTTCATTAAAGACAAATCTTCGGAGATAGTGGGGTTTACTTATTCGTTTATTTCCTCAAAAGTGGGGGTTCAGGAGTTGTGGGGGGGCAGCTGGGCGTTGCTGGGGCTGAGCCCAGGTCACCTGTACCTGACCCCCGTTCCGCTAGGGACTGAAAATGACCCAAAATGCTGCGGAGCGGGGCTTGGGCCAGTTTAGCGATGGTGTTGGCATCCCCCCACCCGGGAGAACCTGGTTTTCTCAGTGTATCCTCCTGCCCTACTCCTCAGCATTAATCGGGGTGCCCTGGCAGAAGGGATATCCCGAATCTACTCTCCCTCTTCCCAGTGCAGGCGGGAAAGGAATTCTATCGTCCAGTTTCCAGGACTTGGAATCCCAGGTGGGACAATGGGCCACTCCAGTGGGGCTGGAGGCAAGGAGGAACCTCCAGGATACAGGAATCAATGAGACTGTAGGGGGCCATTTCAAATCCCTTGCTCTGTTCCCTAACATGGAGACCCTAACCTCAGCACCTAGTTCTCGTTGGTCATAACAGCCTTTCTAGACAGCAGTTGGACCCCAACACTGGCCTTAATTTGCACTCAGACCAGCTCCTACCCATAACCCCAACATGGCTGGCCCCCACCTACACATACCCAGAGAGTCTCTACCGGTAGATTGCTGGAGAGAAGCCCAGAAGCCAGGGGTCGTGTGTCCTCTAGGCCTTGAGAATGATGTGCATACACATCCCCTCCACCCCCAACACTGCTGAGACAACCATTTGGCACTTTCATCTCCACAGGAGAGAGGTTCTACCTTAAATTATTGACATTTAATGAAAAACAATGTTTTGGGTGGGATGATGTTAATGCCCCCCCCCTTTTTTTTGAGGTTTTCCCCCAGCGAAGCTTCTTCTCCAGGTCATGGGAAGGGAGGTTCAGCAGTTTGATATGACACCCCATTCTGGTTTCTGGGGCTGCAGCTGGTGGGACAAAGCCTGGCCTTGGACAAGTAGAGAAGTGTCCTGGGACCCAGACTGGTCAGCACAGACAGGCTCTGCCATCCCCTTCTCCAGATGGCCCTATCAGACCACTCTCTCCCAGACAGTCTGTGTAGTCTGGGTTTGAACCCCTGCCCTCTCTTTGGGTGAAGGGCAGCTCTGAAAGTCCTAGGCTAAGGGCAGAGAGGTTGGACCAGGGACCATGGCTGGGGGGATGTGGAGTGCCACTGGTTTCTAAGGATGAAGCTCCAGGCAAAGCTAGTAAACAACCTAGTCTTTTATTTGCCCAAGGCCAGCTGTTGCAGGCAATGAGGCCCCAAGACTTCCAGAAGGGATGAAGGGAGGAGGGGCAAACCATCCTGCCTACCAGGTGCTGCCTGCCCCCATCCTGCTTCCTGCAGGAGGTGGGAAAGGAGATAAAGTCTACATTTGTGCCATCAAGGATCACGCCTACTTTCAGATACTTATAAATATTCAGTTGCTGTTGAGGAGGAAACTGAGGCACTCTGACATCCCAGGCCTCTATGTGCCAGTCCAAGCTTTTGCCGGCTCCTTTCTCTCTCTCCAGAATGAGCTGCAGGCAGCCTTTTGCTGGGGGAGGGTCTTAGGAGCCCATCTGGTGGCCTGTGGGGGGGAAGGCCAGCCAGGGTCAAGGGCTGGGGATGGGGGGGCAGGAGGAGGGTGTGGTTGGAAGAGCAGCTGCTGGGAGGGGGGAGTCAGCACTGAATAGGGGACCCCAGCTGGGGTTCCATAATGATATCAGTGGGGGACAGCCAGAGCCCTCTGCTGTCTAGATAGGGAAACTGAGGCAGAGACTCCTCCCACCTTGGAGAAGGGAGGGGTTTCCCATCAGCTATTCCTGTCCATTCATCTTCCCCACGAAGACACTACAGCCCGGGAGCTGGAGCGCCTCGTCAGTGGTCACTCGGTGTTTACACTGAGACACAAGGAGTGGAAGGCAGCTGGGTCACCTGGCCAGGGAGCCCCCTCCTGTTGTGACAAAGCAGAGGGGCACCCTCCCCCACCTCAGCTGCTGGGGAGGGAGGCAGGGCTGAGCCTGCTCGCCCCAACTCACGTGCCTGAGAAAGACTCATTTTTAGCACCTGGCCTCTTTTCCCTGCCTGGAGGGAGCTCAGGGGACAGAGCAGGGAAGAAAGCAGCCAAGGGGGACAGGGAGACCTGGAAGCAGGGTCCCAGGGGATGTCTGACTGTGCTCTTCTCCCCACGCCAAGGGAACCCGGGCCCAGAGCGGGGCCCTCAGCCGCCATGCAGCGTGGATATGAAGAGGATGCTGTCCCGGTCCTGCAGCTGGTAGTCCAGCTCGCCCTGGTCCAGGAGAGAGAGGACACTGTCAGGGGCTTCTCCTCAGCTGTCGGGAGGGCAGAAGGGGGCCTGGTCGCTTTGGGAGAGAAGGATAAAATCTACCAGAAAAATGGGTGCCCTGCATATTAGCCTGCAAATCTTCAGGATGGAGGCGAGAACACCACTTCCCCCAGCTACCCGTTCCTTCCTCCCTGGGGTGGGAGACTTGAGTGGCCCCGCTTTGGAAACCAAGTGGGACCCGGGACTAGCCAGCCAACCCCGCTGGGCCTGATGAAAAAGACCCAAGGCTGTCCTGGGGAAGCAGTGAGGGGAGGGACGGTCTCCCGAGGTACTGACCAGCAGTTCCCAGTCCGCATCGTTAACCAGCACCAGAATTCCTGGCCGCCTGTGGGCAAGAGGGCGTGAGGAGCCGGGAGTTAAGGGCAGGAGGCAGTCGGCAGCAGGGGCACAGAGGCCGAGACGCGTGGGCTGGAGGACAGTGTAGTGGGAGCTTGTCCTCCTGAGGTTCTGATGAAAAATCACCCAGGAAGTGGAGGGGACACTGAGTCTAAAGGAAACTAGGCCAGACAGTCGTAGCTTTTGGGGTGATAATAGAAAACGGGTACAAATTCCAGCACCACCTCCCAGACCTCAGGCAACTCATTTTGTTTCTCCGAGCATCAGTTTCCTCATCTGAAAATGGCACAAATTACGCAGCCGTCCTCCCAGGTCTGCGTCAGAATGAGACGGGACGGTGCGTGTCAGACGCCTGCCTGCCTGTGTCTACCCCGGTAACCACTGGCAGCAGCAGTTTTCCAGGGCTCTCACCTCACCCTCCTGGGCCTCCCGCAGGCCCGTCCCGGAGACAAGGCTATCTTGGCTCTTCGGAATCAGGGAAGGCTGCCCGGGGCCTCAAGCACCCACATGCCCGAGAGCAGCCCTGCCTGGTGTAAGGCAGGGGAGGCTGACATCTGGACAGCTACCCGCCTGGCAGCAGCCCAAGGAGCACTACTGTCCTTGGGTGGTGGCCTCCGGGACGGCTGGACCGTGACCTGAGCCAGGGCTTGAACGGCAACCTTAGCCCCCAGGGCTTGCTGGTGACCTCCGCTGCAAGGGGATGGTGACTGGGTCCCACAAGTGCCTTGCCCACCTCTCTTACACCTTAGGCCTCCTTCTTGTCGAAGCAGAGTGACTCCTTGGCTGTGACAGGGTGTGTGGCTCTTTTCCCAGGAGGCCGGGCTAGGTCTGGGACAGGTCCAAAAGCTCTGGGCTAGGGGCAGGGGTGTGCTCACCCCAGTGAGCACGAACGTGCACCTGCGTGTGTGCAGCTGCGCGCAGTGACTCCCTGGAATTCTAGACCTGTGCCCTCCAGTACGGTATCTATGAGGCACTATTCACATTTCTAGGGCTCAACAGACTCATGTGCTTAGCAGCTACTACACTGGACAGCACAGAATACACATTTCCATCATCACAGAAAGTTCTACGGGACAACCACACTCCCAGATTGTCGAGGGATGCAAGGGGCTGTGGGCAGCATCTTTTCCTCAGGACTTCCTGTATGGAGAGAGTAGCTGAGGCCCAGAGACAGAGGGAGGATAAAGGGGAGAACAGGACCCCAAGAAGGCTGTGGGTGAACCCAAGGATAGGCGCTCAAACCTCCTTCCCCCCTGCCCCCGCCTGCCCTCCTCAGGGAAGGGAAGAAAGGGACTCACACGCTGTCTCCCTGGATGAACAACTCTGGCCGCTCTTTTAGCAAATTCTTCTTGATCCAGACAAGGAGGTTCCGGATGTCCCCTAGAGAGGAAGGCACAGAACAAGCTCTTGTCAAACCCCAAAGATTCCCGGCCCCCAGAGCCTTACCTGGATCAGAAGGAAGTGAACATGGGGCTTAGGGGGCCTCTTTTAGGCCAGGCTCTTGAGGCCCCTGGACTTGCAGATTCCCAGAGTGAGGAAGGGGGCTAGGGGACCAGCATCCTGCCAGAGAGGCCTTCAGAGAAAGTGGTGCTGCTCAAGGCTTAAAGAGGCGACGGGGCCTCAAGACAGACAGGCTTCTGAAGGGCCCTGCAGGACCCCCTCCACCCTTCTCTCTCCAGCCAGTCCCAGATGGGGAGGACTCAGCTTTGCTCTCAGAGGGGTCTGCATATATTTCCCTTTGTGAAGGAAGAAAAACAATTGCTGAGCCGATAACATCAGTTAATTTCCTCTGGCAGAGGGAGAGAAGGATCCTTCACCAGCCAGGGCTGCTGACAAATCACTGCCCTGCTACCCCCACCTTCACAGAGCCCCCCCAGGCCGGGGACGGCCACCCTGAATAGGCAAGAGGTTCAGGATCGAAAGGGCCTCTCCTGCTCAGCTTGCACACTGAGGTCAGCCACTCTGGGGTTCTGGGACAGCCACTGAGCTCTGTGCACATCATGTGGAGGCTCAGCACTACCTGTCCTCTGGATCACCACTCCTTTCCTAGGAACAGGGTCCCAGGCCACAGCGCACTGAAATCTGGCTCCATAAACTCCTCAAAGCCTACAGCCCTCAAATGTCCAACTGTCTCCTCCTCCAACAGACTGTCTCCTGAGGCTGCAGTTCCTTCTCTCCTCGAGACCACTTGAGGACTGAAGGCCCCGGGGAGACAACTAGTCTCTAGGAAGTCGTAGGGGCTTGAGGCCAGCCACCTCCATCCTGACTTAAGTCTCCCGCAGGGGTCTGCTGTCCTGGACCCACGCCTGAGGAGAGCTCAGAGGCAAAGCTGAAGAAGGGCCCAGGCAGTGCCTTGGTTTCTCCACGCAGAGTGACAGCCCCGGCCTGCAGCTGAGGGAAAAGCTGCTTGGCCGAGAAGCTCCGCTCTGCCCCAGTCTTGGCCCAGGAGCGTGTCTCCACCACAGAACCAGCCTTGGGCAGGGTTTTAAGGCATTCTCCCTGACCTGCATGCCACCCTCCTGAGAGGCAGGCAGGCTGCACCCGGGACGGACCCGTTCACTCTGCTCTGTGCCAACTTCCCTGGATCGTCCGCCAGCAGAGCACGGGGCCATGGGCAAAGTGTCCAAGATCTGAGGCTGCCGCCTTTCAGTCGTAATTCCTGCTTTTAAACAAAGCAGATTAGAGTCCTCATGGTCCCTAGAGCGGGCAGGGGATGCAGAGTGTAGCCTCCAACTAGCTGCAGTCCATTTGGACTCCTGGCTGGGTTCCTCCCCGAGGCCTGGTCTCAGAGGCTCCCGTTTGGCCTCCATCTTGGCACTGTCTGGTGGGCCGCCAGCCCATACATCTTGTGGCCGCTCAATACAGCCGATGGGGTCTGACACATCCATCAGCCAGCCGTGGCAGGCGGGGCTGTGCCTGTGTGTGTGGAGGAGCCGAGAGGCACTGGGCAGTGCCTGGCCCGAGGGCCACCAGCTGCAACTCCACAGCCCCGGCTGGCCTGTACAGAACCGGGACCCAGTTGGGTTAAGGGCCCGACTCCCTCCAAAAGGAGGGGGCTTCTGTTCCACTCTGGATAGGCTGAGGGGAGGGGGGAGGGATAGTGGTCATGTCGGGGTCATCCAAGTGATGGCACCATCATGGAGTCCCAGAGGGGTGGACTGGGGGGTAAGTCTGCTGTCGGTACGGGCTCATTTATCATGATGCTCCTCTTTGCTGAGGTCACTCCCTCCCTCCTCTGTGCCCCCCAGGCCTGCCCACATTCTTGATAGCCTGTTTCCATGGTGAGGTCGCCGTATTGTTCCCCCATGCCTGGATTTGGGGGGTGGGGAGAGGTGGAACTCGCTGCTCCCTTCGCAGGGAGGCCTTGCAAGGGCCACTCGGCCTGGCCTGAAACACACCCCCAGGGACATCTTGCTAGGCTTGCTGAGGCCCAGACAATATGCAAATAGCCTCCAAGCCAGATGGTCGGCTTCCAAAGGCGCCCAGGGGAGGAGGTAGAGTTGAGCAGAGTCAGGGACTGGTGGCTCTGGGGAATCTCCCGTTCACCTTCCCCCTCTAGGTCCTCCTGCCTTCCCACTCCACTGAGGGTGGTTTCTCTCCTGGGATCCCATGTAGTCACTCACAAGTCAAATATTTATTGAGCAACTACTATGTGCCAGGTGCTAGGAAGACGGCCATCACTGATTGAATTAGTTGCAATAAATGCTATCTCCTGAGTGCGGGGGCAGGAAAACTTTTCAGAAGATGTTCGCGTTGATGCTGAGGCCTGAAGGATGAGCAGGGCAGGATGGGGAAGCACCCCAGGCAGAAGAAGGTGCATACACGAAGACCTGAGGCAGCATGGAATTGGCAGGTTCAAGGTAACAGAACAGAGAAGACAAGAAGATCAGCACGAGAGCAGGCTGGACCATGCGGGGCAGGCAGGGGCCTTGTGACAGGTCTGCTCTGGAAGAGGCCTCTCCTTCCTCGTGAACCCCAAGTGTGCTCTGTGGGTACAGAACCCACGCTGTTGGGGCTGGTGCTCCACGTTTCTCTGGTAACGCACAGTATCGAGATCCAGCTCAAATGCCCGGCATGTCCTGAGGACCCGGCGCAGTCTCCCACACAGAACCCGCCTGACATATTTGCTGACAATGTGGACAACTTCAGAGGGCGGAGGAGAGGATGAGAACGGGGGCAGTCCTGGTTCTGAGTTTGAGCCATTACTTCCTGGTCCTATGAGCTTGGCTGTGGGGTTCTCTGAGCCTCTGCTTCCTTCTTTGGGGAAATGGTAAGAACACCCCACAGGGCTGTTGTGAGGGCCGAGTAAGATGATCCATATAAAGATCCCGGCACATCGCGCCGTAATTGTGATCCAGAGGAAAAACCTGTAGCCTTTGCCCTCTCCCAATGTCCTGAGCTTCTGCATGCTCTGCTCAGGGCCCTGGCCCCCTGGGGATGGGCTGCGACAGCCCGGCACTCATTGGATAGTGCTGGGACTGGCCGGGGCTCTCCGAGGGATCCATTACCTCGCCATCAGAAGTGGGAGGGCAGGGGCGCCTGGGTGGCTCAGTCGGTTAAGCGCCTGCCTTCGGCTCAGGTCATGATCCTGGAGTCCCGGGATCGAGTCCCACATCGGGCTCCCTGCTCAGCGGGGAGTCTGCTTCTCCCTCTAACCCTCTTCCCTCTCATGCTCTCTGTCTCTCATTCTCTCTCTCAAATAAATAAATAAAATCTTTAAAAAAAAAAAAAAAGTGGGAGGGCAATGAGGGAATGGGGGGGACTGGGAATGGTGAGGGGGCCCCAGACACTGGCCTTCCCTCCATTTATTTGTAAAAATCGTTTTATTGATTTATGTTTTAAAGTAACCTCTGTACCCAACGTGGGGCTTGAATTCACGACCCCAAGATCAAGAGTTCGATGCTCTGCTGACTGAGCCAGCCAGGTGCCCCCTTTCCTCCATTTCAGATGTTCAGACCCCTAACATGCTCCCGGGACAACCGAGGTGGAAGGACTCACATTCTGAGGCTGTGGGGGCCAGAAGGCCGGCGCTGGACGGGCACCTAAAACAAGGTCTCTTGTGAGGAAGTCTGGCCCGCGCATTTGGGGAAGAGCAGGAGCGGGAGCAGCTGCGCTGTGGCAGGGTGGTTCAGAGTTGGGGTTCTGAAGCCGGGAGACCCTGGGGACAGCAATTCAAACCCCAAAGCACTGCCATGAGGGTTCAGGCATAAGGTAGCAGCAGGCCCTGTGGAGTGTCCAACGCACAGGACAAATGTCCATTTGCCCACAGTGACTCAGGGCTCCTTATCCTCTTGGCTGCCAGAACCGTCTCCTGAAGGCTGCCGGCAAAGGGGCACCACGCACACCATTCTTAGAGAGCACCCACAAAAGCTCCCACCAGGACCGCTCGCCCCGGCGCACCGTCCTTGTCCGGGCGCACTGGCCGCCCACCGGGGCAGGGCCTGCACTGGTGTCCGTCCTAGCTTCTTGGGCTGAAAGAGAATAATCCCAAGGTCTTATCTGATAATGAACCCCAAATGCAACAGACCCACGTCCAGCCTCTCTTTGATCACCTCCAGGGAGAACTTCTCTCCTAACCAGAAATCTGTCTTCCTGAGACTCCCCCCGAGGAGCCTGGTTGGTCCATGGGGACCACACCAACACAAGCGGCCCTTCTTCCCCATGCCACTCAGATCTGGGAGAGCTGGATCCCCTAAGTCTTCTCCTCCATAAGGTTAAACCGCTCCAGTTCCCACCAAGCCCACCAGGCTCCAGGCTCTTCTGGGAGCCCACCCCAGGCCTTAGTTGAAAAGGGAGAAGAAAGAGCAGGGATGGGGGGAGTAAAGGAGAAGAGAGGGTAGAGGGAACATCAGAGGGTCCATTTACAAGTGAATGGGGGTAAGAATGGAGCAGTTTGTGGGCTAAACTGGCCTCAGAAGGAGGTTTACAGATGTGCAGGGGACGCTCCTCATTGTTTAATTAAGCAGAAAGTGGATCTTTTCAAAAGCAATTTTGCACAGGGACTGGGAGGGGTTGGCGGAGAGGAGGGCGGTGGGGAGGGGATCAGCAAACAGGCCCCAGAGCAGAGAAAGGAACAGCTGGCCCCAGAGAGGCTGTGAAATGCATGCTAAGCAGTTTAAAGCGCCGGGAGCTCCCTCCAGCTCCCTAGCCGGCCACCCAGTAATACAAAGGCAGGCCAGAGGAAGAAGGCAGGGAAAGGTGAGGCCTACTGTCTCCTCCTGGCGACCAGGGCAGTTAAGGTCCACACGGGGACAGTCTGTCTTCCCTGATGTTTTGGGTTTGCTCCAGGCCACTGACCAACCATGGGCTGGGGGCCTTGCGTTGAAGAGACCCTTGATGCATAAAAGCCAGCCCCCAGTGGCCGCAATGTCCGAAACTGATGGCGCCTACCAACCCCTGCCAATCAAGGAGATGGCTGTTAGGACATCACCCTCGATAAGCATACCTTCTCACCAACAACACATCCTGATGCCCAGAATTATGTGCTCAGATCTGGAAGCAACTTTTCCAAACTGTGGATGTCCAACGGGTAACCAGCTCAATAAAGACTAAATCTAGCCCAACCTCCCATTTCACAGATGGGAAAAAAGAGGCCCGCAGAAGTAAGTGATCTGCAAATGCACACTGCCAGGGCTCCTCTTGCAGGCTCGCCCCCTTTGGCCTTGCCCATCCTCTTTCCCCAAGTTGGCTGGGTTGGAAGCTCTCCCCTGGCCCAGGACCCAGGGCCCTGGAGTCCCCTTGTTTGTGAGACTTGTCACAATCCATAATCTTATGGTTGCTATTTTCTCTGCTGGAGTCTCCAAGACCTGCTTGGCCAAGTGGCAGCCCCTGGGCTGGGAAGGCTGCCAGTCGACAGAGCTGGGCACGGGCTGGGGGGAAGAGTGGGACTCTGCTGGCGGCACCCGCTGGGCTCCTGTGTGCCAGGGTAGTGCCTGGCAGCTGTCAGCCGGCTCTGCGGCTGCAGGGTGACCTACGCCTCTGGGCGCAGCAGGGCGAAAATGGGAACCAGGGGTGGAGATCCACAGCCAAGGGCCCAGAGACTGAGTCAAGGGGCCATTTCAGCTTCTCTCCCCTGCTTTCTTTTCTGCCATCCCGGACAGGGGAGGGGAGACCCCATCTACCCACTAAGCAGTGAATGGAGGATGAGAGATCAAATACCTGGGTCTTAGCCCTGTCTCCCTACTTACATAACTTTGGACAGGTCACTGTCTCTCTCTCTCTGGCTTTCTCTCTCTCTCTGAGGTTTGGTTTTCTTGATCATATATAGTATCTACTGGGGTCATTACAAAAATCAAAGTAAGTAGCTGCTGAAGGCATGAATGAATGAATTGATGAATGAATGAACAAACGAAAGAAAAGTGTAGAAACCAGAAAAAACACTGCAGATGTGAGATGTCATGTGACTCAGGGAGTTCGTGGCACCATGTAAGGACTTTGGAGACCCCGAAATCTGGTTCTAAATCCCAGCTCTGCCATTTAAATAACCGTATGGTGTGGACTAAGACGACCTGGGCATCTCTGAGTTGGGGTTTCTAGTTTTTAAACTGGGAATAATAATGGCAGTTACCACCTAAGAATTTGTGACAATTACTTGCACAACCAACCAGGGTTGTGCCTACCACGCCAAACTCAGCCTGTGGTCCTCATCATACTGGCCTTTCTTCAGTTCCTAGACCACCCTGAGGCCTTTGACCAAGAGGCCCTCACAAGAGCTACCCCCTCTGCCTAGAATGGGCCCCCAGCACCTCTGTTCTCCCTCCCAACTTACCAGGCCAGCCGCTTTTTACCCCTCAGGCCTTCACCTCAAAGTCATCCCTTTAGAGGCCTTCCCTTACCACGCGCTCTCCTTCAAAGCACCTGTTTGCTCTCCTCGTGCCAATGCCCACCACACTAGATGTTTCCTGGTTTGCTGCCTGCCTCCACTTCTACTACACTCCATGTAGGGCAAGAACCACAGCTGTTTTGCTCAGCACTGAATACCCAGCAACTAGTACAGTGCCTGATACAAAGGAGGCATCAGAACAAGATATGCCAACCACAACCATAGCGTGAGTACCTCTTCCAGCTCTGGCACATGGTAACCATTCAGCCAATGGGCGAATGAGGGGGACTGGAATCATTTACCCTGGGGCCATCTGAGCCATGCAATTGCCAGTCGCGGGGGAAATGAATCATAACTCATGAGACTTTACTAACTTCCTGGCCAGGTCTTTACGGCTGGGTCCTTGAGAGGCTTCTTCTGAGAGCCCCTTGTTCCCTCCCTGGGCTGTGTGGCTATCTGTCAAACTAAGAACCAGTCACCTTTATCTTCCTGGGTCTTCCTTCACCGGGGACGCACACTGTCCCCCAGTCCTGACATTTCACCCCAGCCTCATGCCCACTCCCAGTTCAAGGACGGCAGTGTCCTATGCTTCGGTTAATGTCCCCCGGCTCGGAATGTGGCACACAGCCCCACTCTGTGCCACTGCTCTCCACCCCAAGGCAGGGTCACAGACAGCCTTGGCAGCCAGTGAATTTGGGCAACTGTTTGATTCCCAGCAGATGTGTGTCCAGTTCCAGAAGAACCCTGTCAGAGCTCATGACCATTTCTCAACTGCCTGCTTCCATGAACCCCATTCCCCTGCCTCCTCATAGGATTGATCCCCCCACCTCCCAAAGTATCTCAGCATTAGGCGGAGATGGGCTCCCGTTCCTGAGCGTTCTGCTCTTTTTTTTTTTTTTTTAAGATTTTATTTATTTTTTGACAGAGAGAGACAGAGACAGCAAGAGAGGGAACACAAGCAGGGGGAGCAGGAGAGGGAGAGGCAGGCTTCCCGCCGAGCAGGAAGTCTGCTGCAGGGCTTGATCCCAGGACCGTGGGATCATGACCTGAGCTGAAGGCAGACGCTTAACAACTGAGCCACCCAGGCTCCCCTGAGCGTTCTGCTCTTGTGAGGACCCATTGCTAGGGCTGCAGGGCACCTCTGGGGTTGTGATGCCCAGGCCCCTGCCTCTAAGCTACACAGATATCTACCCAGCTGGACTCTTGCAAGTTACCTCTTCATCCCCGCCCCCCGCCCCGGCCCAGCGTGAAGGCAGAGACTGGCTCATATCTGCATGTCTCCCCAGTGCCTGGTACATGGTTTGCCACACAGGAGGTGCTCAGTATATACTTGTTAAAGGATAATGAACAAGTACTTGAATGGACACAAAACCATCTCACTGTCTCCCTTAGTCAACTTCCCCAATCCTTTCTGGCTGGATACTTTCCGCCTCATCTAAACCCTCTCACCATGTGAGCCCATCCACACTGTTCCATTCTTGATGAAGGTGACCCCCTTCACGAGGACACCTCTCTGCTGCCATCGAGTAACAACGGAGATGCATGCTATAGCTTTTAGCACATAGGGACTTCCATCCTTACCTCCTATGTAAGAACACTAAAGCTCAGAGAGGTGAGGCCCCTGGCCTAAGGTTCTAAGGAGATCCAAACTCCAGTCTGTCTGAATACAGAACCCGCATCGGTAAGGACGAAGCTACCTTCCTCCTGCAAAGCTGGCTCATCTTAGAGAGCATGGGGGAAGGGTACTCTAGTGATTTCTCTTCCTTACTCTCCTCTCTCCCACTGGTCAGGGAAATCCTACCCATTCCCTCTTGAACAGGGCTGAGTGATGCCTTAGATTCCCGCTCAGCAGCCCCCCGAGAGGGGCCCAGAATGCGCATACTCACAGGGCTCCTCCTGTCCAGGTAAGGTGACCTGATGTTTCTTCACGCCGTCGAAAAGGAGTTCCGCGCCGCCTCTGCAAAGGAGGGCCAGAGAAAGACAGCCAGGTGAGCTCCTGCAAAAACTTAGCCGAGACTGAAAACTGAGGAGGGGGCTGACATTAGAAGCTGAAGAGATGCACAGACTGAGGCTCAGGGACAGCTCGAGTACCAGTACGTGACTGATTCTCAAATCTGACTTCCTGATGTGGTCAAGTAGGATGTAAGTAATTCCTACCAATGATCAGGCACCCAACTCTGCAGACTCTCATTTTTGCCCCTCTACTTTCTCAAGAGGCAGCTCAGTATATGGGTGCAGAGCACAGGCTTTGGAGCCGTTGCCCTAAGATGCAGACCACACTCCACCTCTGCCTGATGCCCAGACCTTGGGCATGTGACTTCATGTTCTCAAGCCTCAATCTCTTTCCATCTACACAAGTGTTGAGAAGCCACTATCAGACATGAGGGAGACCCTGTGTGTTGAGGGGTCTCCTCTGGCCAGGGGAGGGTCTGAAATGGCCCGGCTTGTGCCACACACTGCTGGCCTGGTGGGCATACCACAGTGCTGGAGGCTGAGACTCCACTGGGCTTAGCAATAACTTTGCCATTTGCAAGAACACTCGTCATCTCATTTCATCCACAGGGCAAACCAGGTAAGGAGTCAGGGAGGCAAACGTTATCAGTTCCATCCGATGGAGAAGCAGACTGAGGCCTGGAGAGGTTAAGTGACTTGTCCAAGGTCACAGAGGCAGTGGCTGAAGTAGGATCTAAATTCCAGCTGGTTTCTGCTCAGCCCCAGCAACCTTGGCAGAAAGAAAACAAGACTCCCCAAAGGTCAGAAAGCCCCTTGAAGGCAGCTTGGTTCACTTCCGTGTGCCAGCACCTGGCCAAGGGGAAGCTGGGACAGCCGAGATGCTTGGAGTCAAGTCCAGAAGCTGGGGCTTATGACGCGGACACGAGGGGTCTTTCAATGCCCCACAGTGCTTCTTCCTCTGGGTCTCCTGATCCCCATCTCAGACTTCACGTGGATCTTAACTGAGAAGGCCTTAACAGACTTTTGATGGATGTGATGCCTCCCACCCCACCACCCTTTCCCAATTTCAGAGAACAGAGATGTCCTGAGACAGTCCACTGGGAGGCAAAGGCAAGGCAAGCATTGTCATGGGGGAAACATGGGGCGACTGTCATCCAAACAAGGTCACGCTTTGTTGATGCAGAAATGTGGAGGGGGAGAGGAGGCCCATCTGTGGCCGCGCGCAGGGCCATTTCAGCTGCAAGCCTGCACAGAGCCTCCATTTATCCCCTTCCAAGAGCCTCGTTCTCTCCTGGGTGGGGGCTGGCACATGCAGCAGCTGGGGTGGGGGAGGGTGACAGGCAAGGGGCTCAGGAGTTGGGGGTCAGAGAAGAGGGGTGGGAACTGGAGGCACTGGGACCCAGGCAAACAACCAAGAGTGGCCAAACCTGGTGGTGCCAGGCTCAGAGGCCAAGGCTGTTTTTCCCTTTCCAAGCAGAGAAAGGGAGAAGCAGTCTCGCTCAGAGTGACCTGTCACCACTGGGTTCACCGGCTCCCCAAGGGAGGGGTTGGCATTTCTACTGCCAGCACATCTGGAGGGGAGGAAGGTGAACACCCGGCCTCTGGAGAGATTTAGGGAGGCGGGCAAGGGACCTGTTTTGGTCCCAGAAGAGAACCAAAGCCAGACATTCTTAGGTCCCACAGGGTCTGCTGTTCAAACTCAACTAAGGAGTTACATCTGAAGCTACTTCATCTTCCCTTCACCCCCTAATTCCTGATGGGAGTGTTTGTTGGTACCAGTGGCTGGTACAGACGATCCCCAAACTGCCCTCCCTGTTTCTAGCTTATCTACATCAGCTCATCTCATGTATTTTTTGTTTTGTTTATTTATTTCCTTTCTACCTGCTAGAGTACAAGCTCTGCCTAAAACAGGGTCTGACACACAGTAGGCACTCAAGAAATATTTGCTGAATGAATAAAAATGCCCATTTCTCCTTCTTCTCTTACCTCAATGGTCCTGCCTCCCTTTGCCAACACCTACAAGCCTCAGGAAGAAGGAAAAAGGGCGAGGGAAAGGGAATCTCACATCTGGACCCCAGGAACACACAACACATCTCTACTGCATACTTTGAACCTTGTGTGATCTAAGAAAAGGCACCGCTCAGGACAGTTCAGGAGGCAAGACAAAGGAGGGCAGAACTCGTTCCTCACAAGAGAGTGAACAGTGTGAGAGGTCTTCCAGAGAGTCTATCAAAGCTGGTCAGATTGACAGGACCACATCTACTCAGGGAAAAGAGGCAAAATCCTAAATGGACTCTTCAAGGACCAGAGTGGCACTCAAGAAGACAGAAGGGAGAGAATGATGGGCAAGGTGGTTTCTTTGCAAATCTGCTCAGGTTCACAGTGAGGGGTGAAGGAAGTCCACTAAGAAATGTAGATAATGAAAGAGAAGCCAGGGCCAAAAACATGCACTGAGACAAAGAGAGAAGGAATCTGGGTTTGGCATACATCTTAAGACATTCTTGCTTCCTGAGAAGCTGCCATTCTCACGGGACACTGAGGTGGTGGGAGGAGGTGTTAGGAGATGGGGAGACGGGGGAGGAATGCTGTGGGGCTCACTCTTGCTCTTGGGGGTGAGGGAGGCTGAAGCTAGAGATGTTTAGGCTAGAAAAGGGATAATTAAGCTAGTCCGTACGCTCTGGAAGGCAGGGACCCTATCTTCCTCATAGTAGGACTCCCCACTGTTGCCAGGACAGTACCTGGCATACAGAGACATTCCTGATGAACAAGTACCACGTCCGACTCAGTAAGGATGAAAGGTAGGCTGACTGCAGATAAACCATAACACCGGCAGTCTGCAGCTCTTTTCAGCTCTGCTGAAGCCTGTCAAAACAGCAGGGATCCTCCTAGAACCAAGCTATAGGGGGGTGGGGTGGGGTGGGTGTATAACTGAGCCAAGGGTCAGTGAAGCAAAATAGTCAGGAGGCCAGACCAGTATCGTTCTAATTGGACCCACGGGGCCAGACAATATTGTCAATTAAAATGCAGTTAACATTCATGAGACTACTCCCTTATTCTAACGGACAGAAACACTGAACACTGGAGGACATGGACAGAGTTCTATTTATCTTTGTATCCTCGGTGCCTGGCTCACTGCCTGGCACATGATAGGCACTCAATAAATGGCTACTGAATGGACTATCCAATGAAGGGAAAACATGAAAGAAACTGGGGGCACCCCATGGAAGGAAAAGCATTTATGGCTAGAGGTTTTAAATTACCGTTTCAGACTTTCCCTTTCATATAAGCCTTGGCTTGTTTATCTTCACACACACACACGCACACGCACATCTAGTCCCAGCTTTTCCCATGTGACTTGAAATTCTACCACCCATCTGTTGGGTCTGTTTCTTTGCCTTCTCTCCAAGCTCTGCAGTTTCTCTCAGCTCTGAAATCACATGACAAACCTGTTTGTAGGGGACAGAAGATAGTGGCTTGAGGAGACTTCCTCCCTGATCTGGGTTTGTTTAGCTATTGGTGTGTGTGCCCCAATCCTGCTCCTCTCGTCTTGTGCATGCTGCACCGCCAACTCAGCCTCCTCCACCGTGCTGTTTATTTATCCCCGTATCTCCACCTCACTCAAGATCAGCAGAAGGCAATCAGCAAGTCTCCTGAAGGTCCTGAAAGGGCTTCAGGTCTGTTTAACACTCCCAAATCTTGGGAAAGAAAAGGAGTCCCGTCTTGGCTACACATCCCACGAGAAACAAGGCTCTAGGAACCGTGCAGGCGGAAACTGCTGCGCGAAGGAAGAAATCTGGGGGTGAAGGGTGGTCCTTCTCGGTTCTAGGAGCTCAGATGCCAGAGATACAGGCCTGGTCCCAAACGGGATTAGCAAAGAAGGTAAGGAGGCCGCCAGCTAACTGTCACGCCTTTAGGGTCCGGCAGGGCACAGGGCACTGAGGAGTGCCCAGAGAGCACCTCCACGACTGGGCTTGCGCCTCTATTCCCGGACATACGGCCTCGTCGCCAAGGGAGACCGAACCTCTCAGACTCTGAGAGGCGGGTGGCGTAGCTCTGGGAATGCGCCGGGAGCCTTGGCGATTTGGTCGTCACGGGGACCAAAGCAGAGGGAGGGAAGTTCCGGGCCCGACGACTTCAATCCATCCCCACGGCGCCCCAGCTCTGTGACTCACCCGAACTCCACCTCCACTGACAAGGGCGCTGCCATGTTGAGGAAGCCGAGCTCACAGGAAATTCCCTTTCAACTTCCGGCGCTCCCGCCCCACTTCCGGTAGGCGCGGACGGAAGAGGCGGCACCCAGGGAGCCATCCTCCGCAGCTATTGGAGGAAGGCGGAGAGCGAGGAGCGGAGGTGGGGAGGTCACGGCGCTGTTGGAGACTCTTGGTCTCCCTCTGCCTTTTAGTGACGGGGTTCAGAGGGCTGGGTGGGCGGCGGCTTGTGCGAGCCATAGCGAGGTGGGCCCCGGGCATCTTTGTGCAGTACCTGTGAGCCACGTTACTGTTTATCTTGCAAAAGTTAACAAATCTCTCTTAAGCCCGCACACCGCTTGGGTGAGCCGGTCCATTCGTCTTGACTTGAATTGTAAGTGACTGCAAATCTTTATTTCCAGCCCAGCAATCTCTCCTGAGCTATCGAGTCGCTATCCATCTGCCCCTTTGGTTATCGATTTGGGATTTACTCATTCAACATTTATTGCACGTCCTCCGTGTACCAGGCATCTTGGTGAGTGCTATAGGTGTGCGTGGTGAATGGGATGGGCAAGGTTCCTGCCTTTAGGGCGTTCACAGGCCAGTGGGCGAAGCTAGCTCTAATGGAATAAACGAACTAGTGGTACTAATAAATATAAAATCTCAAACCGAAAGAAGTGATCTGAAGTCACAGGAATTTCAAAAAGAAAACAGATTGGACTGGACCTGAACTGAGCTCTATACCTGAGTAAAGTAGGCGGCTGTGAGGGGGAGAGAAACCTCTGGGAGCGTTCCAATAAGGAGAACAGAAGGTGCAAAGGCTCTGGGTGGGAGACCATGCCGGAGCACCCCAAGAAGGGAATGTGGAAGTTGGGAAGCAGAGGACCTGGTAAGAGATGAGGCTAGAAGGGGGGCGGGGGCCAAATCATACCTTGGGAGCCAGGTAAGAATTTAATCTCTATTCTAAGAGCAGTGGGAGGCCTCAGAAAGGTTTGGGGAGGGGGTGATTTGAACTGTGTTTTAAAATATCCTTACCTGGGGCACCTGGGTGGCTGAGTTGATTGAGCATCTGACTTGATTGCAGCTTAGGTTATGATCTCAGGATCCTGAGATCCAGCCCCGAGTAGGGCTCTGAGCTCAGCAGGTGTCTGCTTGAGATTCTCTCTCTCCCTATCTCTCTGCCCCTCCCCCCACTCGTGTGTGGTTTCTCTCTCAAATAAATAAATCTTTTTTGGGGCGCCTGGGTGGCTCAGTTAGTTAAGCGACTGCCTTCAGCTCAGGTCATGATCCCAGGGTTCTGGGATAGAGCCCCGCATCGGGCTCCCTGCTCGGCCGGAAACCTGCTTCTCCTTCTCCCACTCCCCCTGCTTGTGTTCCTACTCTCGCTGTCTCTCTGTCAAATAAATAAATAAAATCTTAAAAAAAAAAAAAAGCTAGGCATTCACCTGCCAGCTTTATATCCAGGTCCCACCACTTTTTTTTTTTTTAAAGATTTTATTTATTTATTTGACAGAGAGAGACACAGCGAGAGAGGGAACACAAGCAGGGGGAGTGGGAGAGGGAGAAGCAGGCTTCCCGCTGAGCAGGGAGCCTGACGTGGGGCTTATCCCAGGACCCTGGGATCATGACCTGAGCCGAAGGCAGACGCTTAACGGCTGAGCCACCCAGGCACCCCTCAGATAATTAAATCTTAAAAATAAAAACAAAAACCTAAACTAAAAAAGTAAAGTAGAGTATCCTTACTTGCTGCAGTGTGAATGGTTTGAAGGGGCACAAGGAAGAAGATAGGAGACTACTAGAGCCTGTTAACAAAAGCCCAGGGGAGAATTGGAGTAAAGTAGGTGTCCCCAGAGTGTCTAAAACACACTTCCAAATTGAACTTAGCATTGGTAGCATATGGTGGGGTAGCCTGATGGTCAACGGTGGAGTGATATAATGGTTAAGGGCAAGGAGTTCAGGGTGCCTGCATGGTGCAGTCGGTTAGGCTTGATTTTTTGGCTTGGGCCATGATCTCTGGGTTGTGAGATTGAACCCTGGGTCAGGCTCTGTGCTCAGTGGGGACTCGGCTTGAGACTCCTTTCCCTCTGCCCCTCCCCCCCACTTATTCTCTCTCTAAAAGAAATAAGTAAAATCTTTAAAAAAAAAGAGCTAGGGGCACCTGGGTGGCTCAGTCATTAAGCGTCTGCCTTCAGCTCAGGTCATGATCCCAGGGTGCTGGGATCGAGTCCCACATCGGGCTCCCTGCCTCCCTCTCCCACTCCCCCTGCTTGTGTTCCTACTCTCGCTGTCTCTCTGTCAAATAAATAAATAAAATCTTAAAAAAAAAAAAAAAAGCTAGGCATTCACCTGCCAGCTTTATATCCAGGTCCCACCACTTTTTTTTTTTTTAAAAGATTTTTTTTTTTTTTTTTAGAGAGAGAGAATGAGAGATAGCACGAGAGGGAAGAGGGTCAGAGGGAGAAGCAGACTCCCCGCCGAGCAGGGAGCCCGATGCGGGACTCGATCCCGGGACTCCAGGATCATGACCTGAGCCGAAGGCAGTCGCTTAACCAACTGAGCCACCCAGGCGCCCCAGGTCCCACCACTTTTAGCTGTTTAAGTCCCTTAACTTACATGTTTGTACCTCAGTTTCCTCATCTGTAAAATGGGGATAACAACCCCTAACTCATAGGGTTGTAGCAAGGACTAAATGAGTTCTTGGCACAGTGCCTCTTTCCCTAAAACAGGCCCTCCCCTGTGTTCCTCATTTCAAGGATACCACTGCCACCCACTGAAACACTCAAGCAAGAAACTTTGGGCATTGTTCTTAATTCTCTCCCATATTCAGATCACCGATTTGGATTCATCTCCCATCTAAGCTGATTTTGCAACCCCCCAAATCTTGCACCACCACCACCATCACCTGCACCTGTTGACTCCATGGAGAGCCCTGAGCCATTTCAATGAATTAGGCACTGTTCCAGGGCACTGGCAAAGTGAAGACAAATGAGACACAGCCCTGGTCCTCAAAGGGCACAAAGGAATCCTGCGGTAAATGGAAAGGTCCCACGTGTACCATGCTGTGCGGGTTGATCACTTTCCCTCTCTGGAACTCAGTTTCCCCAATCTGTAAAGAAGGTTGGGGACCAAATGATCGAAGGTCCTTTCAGCAAAAATATTCTAAGATTCTTCCACTAGACCCAGCTCCCGAAGGGCAGAAATCTTGCCTGATTCATCTTTGATCCTTGGCTTGTGGTAGGGAGCTTTGTAATTGTAGGGGTTTGGTAAGTGCTTGCTGAATGAGTGAGTGAACACATCACTCCCTGTTCATTCACTGGCTTCTCTTTGCCGAAGATAAGGGCCTTCCTGGAAGGTGTTCGGAGCCCTTGAGCCTCTGATTTCAGCTCACCTCTATGAATTGAATATTTTCTCCCCCTAAGAACTGCCCCCTCCTGGGCCTGGAACACCAGAGCTAGGGAGCATTTGAAGGGCTTCAGCCATCTGACACACATTCACTGAGCATCTGTTAAGCACCAGGCCCAGTGCTGGTGCCGGGAACACAACAGTGAACAAAACCAACAGGTCCCTGCCCTTTTGGGACTGTTCTAGAAGACGACACAGATGTAAAAATGGACCACATGGTGTGATCAGTGTTATAAAGGGGGCATATGGGGGCCCTATGGGAGCTGAGGAGTGCCCTAATCCAGCACTGGGATCAGGGAAGGCTTCCCAGAAGTCACACAGCCCAAATCCAAAGGAATGGTGGGAGGGAGAGGGCTCCTAGGAAGGAGGCATCTTCCCACATCTCAACAGACAGGGATTCCTCTATCTTCTTGCATAGTCCCAGAAATGGGAGCTCCCTTCTGGGTAAATCAGCCCATTCTGGGGGTACCTGGGTGGCTCAGTCGGTTTATCGTCTGCCTTATGCTCAGGTCATGATCCTGAAGTCCCGGGATCAAGCCCCATTTCCCTGCTCAGCGGGGAGTCTGCTTCTCCCTCTGGCTTTGCCCCTCACCCTGCTCGTGCGCGCGAGCTCTCTCTCTCGCCCACTCTCTCAAATAAAGTTAAAAAAAAAAAAAAATCAGCTCATTCTGTGAATGCCTGGGTCTCAGAAAGTCCTTCCTTCTCCTGACCCCAAACCTACCCCACTCAACCTCTTTAATTAGTAACAATACTAGTTTAACATACTCATTCAAAGAGTGTTTACTGAATGCCCACCTTACACCTGTCAGGTGCTATACATGCACACTGATTGACTGCTCACAGGGACCGTTTTCCAATGAGAAAATCGAAGCTCAGAACCAGTGGTTTGTGCATGGTCCCTAAGTGTCAGGCCTCAACCCCAGGTTGTATCACCTTCATTATCACTGACCCTGACGGCCTCCCTTTGGGTCCGGATCACCCAAATGCCTTCCCCTGGGATCTACGCACACGAGGGGAATTGGGCCCCATCCCCAGTCCTCCAGCAGGCCGGCCAGCCCGGACGTTGGCCTCCAGCCCCTCTGAAGCAACTAGGGAGACAAAGGCAGGGTCTGCGGGGGGGTGGGGGGGGTGGAGGCAAGGGCGCGGGTGCCCCCCTGCCCGCTGCCCTTTGTCTTCCCGCCTGCTCCCCTCGTGCGCCCCGGGAGGCTGGGAGGCGCCTCTCTCAGGCTTCCTCCTCCCATTCTTGTGCTAATTGGGTGTCAAGCTGAGATCAGTGAGAAAGAAATCCGCCCCGGCTCGGGTTAAACTGCCGCCAAAGACGAGGGCTGAGCCCAGAATATCATTAGGCTGGGAGGAAGCAGGGCCCCCTCCTCGTGGGGGAGGGGCCGGCCACGCATTCAGGCCCCTTTGAAAGTCACTTGGTCACCCCCTCCCTTACTGCCACCGCCTCAATGGGCCCCTCGGAGGTATTTAACCTTCCCAGGGATTGAAAGTGATACGCCAAGCACTGGCCTGGTCGGCCACTTGCCTGTCCTGAGGGCGGTAGGACCTCCGGGGATGCTCGAGGCAGGCTCCTTCCAGCCTTCCCCTGGCGCTGCAGCAGATGCAAATACTGCGGCTCAGGG